AAATATAATTGTCTTTTATCTCATACTATACACAAAAATTAATTCCAGGTAGTTTAAAGACTTGAAATAAAAAGTAAAACTTTAAATTTTGCAGAAGAGAAAATTAGGATATTATTCTTATGATGTCTGGGAAGAAAAGATAAATGAGACTTCTTAAGACAATAATCACAAATTATAATTTACAAGACTTAGTAGCAAATACTTTTTTACAAATAAAGTTAATATAAAGTTAACAAATAAGCCAACATGCCAAGAGAAGAGATTTGTAGCACATGTAAGAAACTAAGTTTGAGTAAATAATTTCTGAAGATTAAATAAAAAAATTAACACACATACCTACATTATTTTTAAAATGGCAAGGGATTTCAGTAGGCATTTTGCAGAAGAGGAATCTAAGATGAACAATGATGATATAAAAAATTCACAACTGTACATGTAATCATGCTAGTAAGTTGAAGACAGGCATGTCTTTTTTTTTTTTTTTTGAGACAGTCTCTTTATGTTGCCCTTGGTAAAGTGCTGTGGTGTCGCTCAGGCATGTCTTTCATTTCAGCAATTCCATTTCTAAATCTATAGCTAGCAAGACATTCATTCACATGTGAGTACTAGGAGACAGTTAAGAAAATATTCATCACAGCATTCCGTGTAGAGTAAAATAAAAATTGGAAACAGTCTAAATTCTATAATCAGGCAAATTGGTAAATACTGATAAATATAAGAAAATGTTCCATGTAGCAGTTAAAATAAGTGAACTAGAGCAATATATACTAAAATGGATAAATTTTAGAAATGTAATATTTGAATAAAACCAAGCTATAAAAGGCTATACACACAGTTTGGTATCTTCTTATAAAGGCATTCATGGTTGTACATGTGGCTCATGCCTATAATCCTAGTACTTTGGGAGGCCAAGGTGGTATGATTACTTGAGGCCAAGAGTTTGAGACCAGCCTGGGCAACAGAGTGAGACCCCATTTCTACAAAACAAACAAACAAACAAACAAAAAAAAAACAACTAGCTGAGTGTGATGTTGCATGCCTTTGGTCCCAACTACTTGGGTGGTTGAGGCAGGAAGAGAACTTTGGCCTAGGAGTTTGAGGCTACTGTGAGCTATGATCAGGCCACTGTACTCCGGTCTGGATGACAGAGCAAGTCTCAGTCTCAAAGTAAAAAAGACATTCATAAAAGTACTTTACCTAGTTTTATGCTGTATTTTTAATATATGTTTAATACATCATGTCCCCCCAGTTGCCATACATAGGGGGAATGGGAAATTGTAGTTGAATCTACCTTTTTTTTTCCTTCAGGAAAGTTTATTTCAGTATATTATGTTGGTTACGTAGTTTGCTTTTGTACATGTTAAGTAAAATTTATAGGGGTGCCCCTCACCCAGAAAGTATGCAGTGTAGCCATGCAGGGTACTCATTGGATGGGAATTTACCCCTTCGCCTTCTGGCTTGTAGGGTTTCTCCTGAGAAATCAGATGGATTTTCCCTGGTGAGTCAAGTGTTGCTTATGCCGAGCTGCTTATAGAATTGTCTTTCATTTTGACTTTGACCAGGTTAATGACAATGGGTCTTGGTGATGCACTGTTTGAATTAAGTCTTCCTGGGGTTCATGTTTGTCTAGTGATTGGATGTCTGAGTCTCTGGTGATGTTTGGGATATTTTCTATGATAATATCTTTAACTACAGATGCCATGCTTTTAAGACTCTCTTCTTTCCTCATGTACGCTTATAATTCGCATCTGTACAGTTTGCATAGTCCCAAATCTAAGAGATTGTTCTGCCTTTAATCTCTTCTTTTCTGCCTCTATAAAGGCAGACTGGGTTAGCTTGAGAGTCTTGTGTTTAGCTCTGAGATCCTTTCTTCTCCATGGTTTAATTTGTTGCTGAAACTTTCTGCTTTGCTTTGAAACTCCTGACTGCCTCTTTCAATTCTTTAAGCTCCATTATATTTTTCCTAGTTTTGTCCAGATATTTGGTGACTTTTTCTTTAATTTTATTGATTACTGAAACATTTTTTAAGCTGCTTTTTTCTGGTTTTCAACATTCTCTTTAATTCTGTTCCTCTTTTTTGACTCCCATATTCTGACTTCTGTTTCTATCATTTCAACAATTTCTTTATGTAGGAATTCAGTGTTGTAGCACCATTGTGACCCCTTGGTGGGGGAGAGGGGTTGATCTGTCCTGATCTTTCATATTGCTAGGGGTCACTCTAATCTGGATGAGGATGAGACAAGGGACCTGCTTGGCAGCAGTTGCTTAGGCCTGGGGGTGGAGTTTGAGCTGGCTCCTTGGCAGACCAAACCATACGTCCCTAGAGCCACTTGGATGCTGTGTCAGGTGTGGCTGTCTTCGAGGTCGTGGTGTCCTTCAGGGACCACTGAAATGGAGCTGTGATGTGTTGTACACTCTCAGAGCCCCACCTCCATCAGTTCCCATGCCCAGGTCCTTCTACACTCTATGGGGAAAACTCTAGGTTCCAGGTCACCAGCTTTGGCCTTGAGGAACCACGAATTGATTCGCTCTCTCCTTAGCCCACCAGAAGCCCAGTGTGGTGCACCGGTGGTTCAGGATGGCACTGTCTGTTCCCCTTCATGCCTGCTGTCTGGTGAGATAGCTCTGTGCAAAGTTACAGTCAAGTCCCAGACTAAGCCAGCAGAAGGCCGTGGGAGGTGGTGCTCGCCAGCCGCCTGCTCAGGTCACATAGTGATCCTTGCATGCAGTCTCTGCTTTAGTGCTATATATGACTCCGTCACCTG